TGGCTTGGATGGAGAAGCATATCATTCTTACGGGTCGAAAGTATATAATCACTTAAGACAGAAAGCTGTGTTAAGACAAGGTCACATTCTTTATTTGCTCAGTGTTTGGGACACTGTGACAAGAAAGGTATTCTTGGAAAACTTAAAATTTTTTGCAAAGTGGCTTGGGAAGTGATTACATCACTGTTAATCATTTAGTATCTTTGATTACTGAGAACCTGGAGCAGGCAGCTGACCCTCCTTTCCAGTATCTTCTGAAAGTTTTTACTCTTCATGCTAAGGCTTTATGAGGGGTGGGAGCAGTAATCTGGGAAGCAGGATCAAAGACCACAAAATAAATATTCAGATCAGAAATCTGGCGTTTAGTCCAGACCAACCTGCTAAACTTGAGATTATATTTGTAGCCAGCAGAAAACTTGAAAGTATTGATTAGAAGCCCCAGATTGTCAAAAGAAACTGCTCAGGCATCAAAGACTCATTCCTGGTGGAAACAGGAGTGAGAAAGAGCAGCATACAGGCCAGAGGAAGCGTGTATTTCAGCAGCACCGGCTACGGATCAGGTGTTTGAAGTACGTAAGACACAGGTAGAGTTCCTAGGAAGGAGGATTCTCGTCCCCTTGCACAAGAGCAGAGTGTCCTCATCAGAAAGCCAAGGCCAGTACCCCATCCTCGGCCTTCTAGGAGTAGTGTGTGCATGACCACCTAAAGGAGTGGCTTTTGGATCTGAGGAATTTGCTTTGGTGCAGATCTAAGAAACAGCATCTCCCAGCTTTATACAAATTCAGCCTTTACTCCACTTTCCTACGGCTCCTCAAACATTTACTCGCTCGGAGCTTCATATTCAGTGCCTGTGTCACAACTCTTTGCAAAAGCTGAGAACACAGCAGGGAAGTTTGAGGTTTATATCCTGACAGGTAATAGCCACTTTCACTTGCTCTTACTTCTGGGATGGTCAGTATAAGGTGAGCTAGACCTTCAGGAATGTTCCCTTTAGGAACCTGTAAGCAAGACCAGGAAAGAGACTTGGTGCCGCGACCAAGCATGGGATACTTGGTTAGTTATGAATCCACCAGAGTCCTAGGACTTTAGGGCAGGAAGCGGATGAGGCCAGTGGTTTCTGCTCCCTGCCCTTTCCTCACTTCATAGAAAACGAAACAGAGGCTCAGTTACAGTCTTATCTATTCGGTGAAGCCTGACGTTGATGCTTTTTCCCAGAACACACCAAGAGATGCAAGAGTGGATGTGAGTGTGTGTGAGGCAAGCGCGAGGGCTCCTCTCCCCTTGTCTTTCCCTCCAGGCATTTACAGGCTCACTGTGTTCCAAGTGGGCCTAACACCTTTCCTGCCTCTCACCTTGTGGAGAAATTCCAACCCACGCATTCCAAACCTTCACTTTTTTTCTAAACATGATCAGAGCACTGATTTACAAATTGAAAGGATTCAGGGTGAAAGCAGGAGGGGAAGAAGAACAGCTAGAAAAATACCAGGGGTTTTATGAAAACCCCACCACCCTGGATACAGCTGATCTTATCTGATCTCGGATGCTGAACAGCTGGCCCTAAACCTGGTTTATTGCCCAAGCTGGTTGGCATTGAGGAAACCATAAATCAGGCAGAAAGAACCTTCCCTCTGTAACAGACTTTTCAGGCAACAGAGATGGGATAACGTACCTAGGAATCAAGGTACTAGCCCCACTAACATAGGAAACCAAGCTTTGCATCTCTGCTGGCCAAGCACAGATGACTTTTGTTCCAAAGCATCGTTGGATGAAACAACATGGCCTCCCAGCTCAACCACCATGGTAACTTGTAGGCACAAGAATTTCCTAGAAGGGAGGAGGCCTGAGAAGCAAAGTGAAGAACAGCTTCCCCCCTCCAGCAGCCACAGTCCCTACAATCCCCCCTAAATTGGTTTTCACCTCAAACTTTTCTAATCCAGCCAATGAAGCACTTTGCACAAACTGGGTAGGGCTGTTACTACGGCAATGGTTTCTGGACACTGATCACCACTACCTGGATCACAGCATCTCCGTCTCTCTCCCCATCAGAGGGCAATGGAGAATTGGCAGGGGCTGAGCTCAGCAGAGAATAATTAGAGCCCATAGAGGTATACCAAGTGCCTAGAAGTGTGAGTCTCAGACCAGCGTGAGGTGCTCCTGATCTGAAAATTCAGCCAACATGAGTTTAACCCCTTGTGCTTTCACTCCACAAGTGCAAGTCCATAGGTTTATTTAATTCATTAATTTATTTTGCTGAGGAAGATCCACCATGAGCTAACACCTGTGCCAACTTTCCTCTATTTTGTATGTGGGTTGCTGCCACAGCATGGCCGCCAACAAGTGGTATATGTCCACGCCTGGGACCTAACCCAGACGCCAAAGTGGAGTGTGCCAAACTTAACACCTAGGCCACGGGGCCAGTCCATATGGGTTTATTTTTAACTAAAACTTTCACTTTTCTTCCTTATCACAGATATTAAGACAAAAAATATGGAAATTAAGATAAGCGAAAGGAAGAAAAAACCACCCATAATTCCCATCGCCCAGAGAGAGCCACTTTTAGTGGTTTGGTGTACGGAATCTGTGCTATGCAAATTTGTGTGCTTTTTTAAAAACAACAAAAATGGAATACCATACATGTTGTTTTATAGTGTGCTTCCTCACTTACTACACTGTGACTATCTTTCTAAGTCAATGAATGCACATTTAAAACATCATTTTTAATGACTGCGTGTTCCTCAGTCATGTGGATTCACTCCATGTTACTCATCCAGGCCCCTCCTGTTGGACGTGAAGATTGTGTCTAGTTTTTGGCTATAAGAAAAAAGCACCATGTTAACTCATTATATGATCTTATTTCTTTAGGATAATTACCCCAAATTGGAATTTCTGAGTCAAAGATCCATATATTTTTAAGGCTTTGGGATGTGTATGGGAAAACCGCTATGAATTAATACTCCTACCAGCAGTGTATGTCTGTTTCTTAAACTCTCACTAGTGCTGAACGTCATCCATATTTTCTTCTGGGTTTGACCATGCTCACTTGTAAGTACTTACAAATATAAATAATACTTATACTTATGATCACCTGGCTTCAGAGTTTCTCAGAGAAAGGCAATCTGTAAACACAAAGAATCTAAAATTATCTAGAGTGGGAACACAAATTTTAAGAACTTTGTGTATGGAACAGGGAGAGAGGACACAGAGTATGTAATAAAATATTGTTTCCAGAACTCTAGCTTTGACATCCTGACTTGTGCAATGCTACACCCACGAAGAAAGCTCCTTTATTGAGTTCCTACTACACGTGAGACACTGTGCTGAGTGATGACACAATCTCGCGATATCTTTACAAGATCCCTCTGAGAGGGGCGTTGTTATGCTCATTTTGAAATTGAGGAGACTGAGGCACAGATTTAACTGACTTCCCCAAGACCATATATATCTGGTAAGCATCTGAGTCAAAAAGATCCAGGGAATTCTGCCTATGATTAGAGCAAGGGAGTCTTTAGACTCAGATGATTTTGCAAATTGACTGTAAGCTGTCCTAGCAGAGGAGAGAGAGTCTGAAGCTCAGTGAAGAAGCACTTATGGTGAATTTAGTGCGGAGAAAGCAATCCCTCCAATCCATGGCTTTAGAAATGGCTCTCTCTGAGATGGACCAGGGCTGTCTCAGTAATCCCATTCAGGGGGTTTCCTATTGAAGGAAGATAAGTAGAGAAGAGTTATTGGCTATTCTTTCTCTCCTTTCATTTCTGACTGTCTCAGAATTTCTCAGACCTTAGTGTACTTGGGGATATTTGAGTTCCTCTTAAATGCAGATTCCCAGAGTAAACCCAAGACACTCTGGTTTGTAGGGTCTGAAGTGGGTCCCTGGAATCTATATTTCTAACCATCAGTAGAGGCTGATGCGGGTGGTCCTTAGATCAGGCTTTGAGAATCATGGCAAATCTACTGTGCTGAATTACATAACCTGAGATGACTGTGAGATGCCAGCCTCTCCCTGCCAGTGTGGTCCAAAGGAAAACCCATGGTAGGCGGGAACTGAATCCTTTATACTGATGTGCATTTGCTTGGCTAATGACTGGGATATCTTACCCAAGGATAGCAATGGTTTCCCAAGAGGCCTGCCATGCCTATAATACTTCACATAAAGTAATTCTTCAACAGAGAGCCGCCCCCACCTCCTTGCTCTGACCTGTGTAGAGGCGGAATTATTATTCATCCATCAGTAACCTCTCCCTGGTGCCCTGGGCCTGGGTGAGGGATACAGACTGTGCCAGATGTCAGTAAACCCTCTCATAGCCATCAGCTCACTTATTCCAGAAAGATTTCCTACAAGATGAATTCAGCAGGTGATAATTATCATCATTATTACAATATCAGCTTCTTCAGTCATCACTCTCGTCATCAGCAGCAGCAGCATCTAACACTGACGAAGTGGCTCTCTTTGCCCAGGCATTGTACCAAACACTGGACTTGTATGATTTCTTTTAATCACACCATACTGCTTTGGGGAAGACCCCATTATAGTTTTACTCTCATTTTTTCGGCCAAGAGACTAAGGCACAGAGAGGGGAAGTAACATGTCCTAGGTCACACAGCTAATACATCCTGGAGTCAGAATTCCAGCCCAGGCCATCTGCCTCCACTTGAGTGGATCCCATGATTCTTATTTTATTAGAAGAGAGGGACCTGGGGCAAGGGGGAGGGGGCCAGATTGCGACTTGCCCAGGACCATGAAATTTGTCAGTGGTGTCATTAGGTCAATTACCAGGGCCTTGCTGACTTTCTGCCCTGGCCTCTTTAGACAAGCCTGCTGCTTCTAGATGGTGTTAGGACAGACTCTGAAAAGGGAAGCTTTCAGTTAATTAATGGCACTGAGTAGAAAGCAAGTTGTGGTCCTGAGGGAACTCTGTACTATTATTTAAGCTCCTGGCATGAGTGGCCAAGAGGCTAAGTCTCTCAGAGTTCTGCAGTGATACAGGTATTAGACAACATCTATGGCTCCCAGGACAGGTGCTGGGGCTCCACTCACATCTGGGCTCTGTTTGGGCGTTGAATGCCATGCTACCCAACTAACAGTACTTCTGACTCTCTTTGTCGGTGTGCTGGTGACTTGGCTTGAGGCTGCTAAACTCACTGTGGGCCTTCAGGCCCCCTGGAACATTTCCCATCCATTCAGTGTGCAAAGGCTGGGTGTGGGCCTCTAGATTGCCCTGGACAAGATCAACTCCGAGCCCGCGGACCTTGGAAAGTTCAGCTGGGAGTTCACTTATACCAACTCAGCCTCTGAGTCTGGTGCCAAGGAGTCTCTTGCTATTTTTACCAACCAGGTCCAGAGAGAACAAATTTCTGCCCTGTTTGGACCAGCATGCCCAGAAGCAGCAGAGGTAGAGTATACAGCCTTCTAGAAACTTTGATTGAGTTTCCATTGGAAGGGATGGTCTTAAAGGTGATGGTACAGACTTGAACCATCTCTTGAAAGGATGGCATTATTATAAATAATAACTGTGTAGGTCTTGGGTACTATTTCTTTGAGATGTAACTAGACTAGACCATGCAATTAGAACAGTTAACATTCCCTGTAATGAAAACCTTTCAAATCAATAATTGTTAGTTCACTCACTAACTTGTTGGTGTTCACTAACACATGTGTCAATTGTTTGGACTTGGTGCTATTGTATATTCACTCTAATATTGTCATTATTCACTCTAATGTCAGAGTGAAAGGCTCAGAATAATTAAGAAGGAAATGAATGCTTGGTTTTAAATAGAAAAATATTGCTTGTGTAGATTTCCCTTTGGTGTGTATAATAAATTATTCAGTGATAGTAAAACTAAGCAAGAAAGAACGAATGACAGATTGCAATAAGCCAGGGCAAGAAAATGAGAGACACAAATGACTTATGTTTGTTTAGTTAATGGGATTCCCTTTGCTGATGTCCTTGGGTATTTTGGCCTCTGAGAGGTGTTGATGCAAAGGCTGAATAGAATGGAGCGTCACAGTCCTCACCCTCAATAATACTGCAGAGCTATCATTAGTGGGTGCTGTAGAATTAAGTTCATGTTGGAATTTGAATCGTCGTCTCTCCTGGAATTCTCCTTTTAACACATTTTAGCTGTCCAAAGCCTACCCATTCTTCAAAGTCAAGCTCAAATGCCACGGAGCCTTTCTTCATCCCTCCATATTCCTAATTCCCAAATCAGAAGTAATTTCTCATTTCTCTAAACTCCTACGAATCTATTGGCTATAAACATTAAAGGGTATATTTAACTCTAGAGCATTTGTATATGTCTTAGCTCCTGAAAGAGATGAAAATCTCCTTTAAGAGTAAGATCTCCAAAGTTCCTTGTAAATCGTAGGCTTCTAAGAAAAATGAATGAGAAATGAACAAAGAACAAACTAAGAAAGAAAGACTAAGAGAGTGAGTAGCAGCTATGAGTGTGGGCTCTGGAACCTTATTGCCTGATTTCTAACCCTGCTCCATTATTCGCTAGCTTTGTAACTTACATCTCTGTGTCCCCATGTTTTCATCTATAAAATGGGTTAATGAGAACACCTATCTCATAGAAATGCTGTAAGAATTGAGGTGATATATGAAAGCTCTCATTAGAATGCTCGGTACATAGTAAGCTCTCAATAAAAGTCCAATATTGTTATTCTTGTCCTCTGAGGTCTTGCATCCTCAAGTTGGATCCAAGACATTATCATCCATGCTCCAAAAGAGAGGATCTAGTATGACCCATAGACTCACTGAATCCACAGTTTATGCAGATACCTTACAGTGGGGTGAGAGTGGCATAAACTCAATTATTGAAAGACACCCTTTTGGTTGCTTTCAAGATTATTGGTTTGCTGGCCTCTGTGTGGAACATCCCCATGTTTGACTTTGTTGGACAAACAGCAAAACCGGAAAATGACTTCTTGTATGACACCTATGTGAAACTCGTGCCCCCCATGCACAAAATTGGTGGTGTGCTCCAGAAAAGCCTCTGATACCTGGGCTGGAAACACATCGGGATGCTGGGAGGTCACTCTAGGACTTCCTCCTGGGATGGAGTGGATGAGTTGTGGAGGGTTGCAGAGAATGAACTCAAGTCCCATTTCACCATCACTGCCAGTGTGAGATATACCAACAATGATCGAGCCCTCCTCCAGGAGAATCTTAGGAGCATGTCAGCAACTACCAGGGGTAAGTAGAAAAGAGTCTCCCATTGCTTATGTTTGGAGAGACAAATAGGAAAAGCAGACTGTTTGAAAAAACTGAGAACTCTTCATTTTTCTATGGGTGTAAAAAGCAGACACAAACAGGGTACAAAAGTAATGATACATAAAAGCATCACCAACAACAGAAAAATTCTTTGGGTTTTTTTTTGGTCTAAAGTGAAATCTCTGATGCTATAGTGATATGATGCACAGAATAAGCTCTGGAAGTATCTTCCAGGTGGGCTGGGTCCTGGACTTGCGTGGTTGTTCAGAGCATGGGCTCTGGAGACAGACGGACTTGGGTTTGAAACCAGCCTCTAACACTTTCTAGCTGTGTACTCCTGGGAAAGTACCTTAATCTCTCTGTGCCTCAGATACTTTATCTGCAAAATGGAGACAATCATCCTACCTACCTCATAGAACGGTGAGGATTAATTAGGGTCATGCTGTACAGTGCTGGACATAGTAATTGGCCAATATATGATAGCAATTATTTTTGTTATGGTGCTTATAGGGCTGCACTTTCTAGCAGGAATTAGTAACTGATTCCTCTCTGTTCTTCAAATAAACTAAGCTCTTTCTGGCCCTGGGACTTTGCAATTTGGCCTGGAGTGCCATCTGCAATCCTACCTCACTCCACCCAGTGCTCTTTCTGTGGGTAGCTTCCTCTCATCCTTCTAGAATCAGCTCAGAGTCCACCTTCTCCAAGGGGCCTTTTCTGACTACTTGATTCGAAATGGTTTTACCCCTGTTACTATTACAGCATCCTCCCCGCCCCCACTAATTAGAATCTTGAATGATCTCTTTAATTTCTTCACTTGTATACTGTCTGTCTGACTGACAGCTCCCTGAGGACAGGGGCCTTCTCTCTTGCTCACTGTGTTTCCTGTGCTTAGCACAGTGCCTGGTACATTGTTGGAGCTCAGATAAATAGATTACAATTTACGTCATTAAAAAAAAAAAATCACTACTTCATGTGACTTCCCATGGTCAGTTCATGTGTGTGACCTCAAAATGCATGCTGACACATTTGGATGGGAGAAAAGGAGGATGGCCCACTCCCTTCCCATCCCAGCTCAGAAAGTTTGAATGCCCCTGATTCCAGGCCCTCTGTGAACTCCTCCTAACTGATGTGTGGCTGGTGAGACACAAGCTGAGTCTGTTGTTCTGAGTCAATTAAGCAAAGACACTAGAGCACTAGAGTACAGACATGCTCCCAGACTTTTTCAGCTTGGACTTGGGAGAGAGCTGCGGTGAAGTCTTTGGTCCAAAAAGCAAAAGCTGCCAGGTTGTATAATGCTGGTCTGGTTCAAGAGGTGTACTCTCTGGGAATAGTGTAGGCATTCTTATTTCCTAAAGCATGCTCAAGGAAAAAATGTTCATGTCTCATTTGGAGTGGCTTCAGGCTAGACTTCAAAAGTGTGCATGCATGCATGCACGTGACCATGTACAATTGGCCCACTCTGTTTTCTCTTACAGTTATCATCTTAATCTGCAGCTCAGAGGATGCGCAAATTATTCTGCTGGCTGCAGAGAAGCTGGGACTCAACACAGGAGAATTTGTCCTCATTATTTTGCAGCAGTTGGAGGCGGGTGCCCACGACCCCTCAATGGCTCCCGCAGTAAGAGGTAACATGTAGGGAGCACTTGCTATGTGCTAGATGCATTAGCTCACTGAATACTCGCTATGACCCTAGGAGGCAGGCACTCTTGTGTCCTCATCTTAAGATCAGGAGACTGGGACTGAGCTGGAAGAACTTACCTGGAGTTCTTTTGCACAGTTAGTGAGAGGTTGAGCTGGGCCTTGAACTGGGCTGCTGGCTCTGGAGCCTAGCCCTCTGTGGTCTTTGTCAGGGAACACCAGCTGAGGAAGGACTATTATTTCTACTGGGTAGCTGAGACCTCCCCAAAGGACTCTCCAGCACAAGTGGCTATCACTTCCTTTTCTCCCGTGGTCACTTCCCTGTGTCCCTGTTGGAGTTCTAACGGAGGCCTGGAGAGACTAACATCCTGGTCCAGTGAGGCAATCTAAGGTGATTTGGTTCTTTTGGTAATGATAGGAATAACTGAAATGTACCACGTGCCTCCTATGAGTATCAAGTTGCACATTTTACATGCGTCGCTGCATTTGATAGTACCAAGAGCTCTGTGAGGTAGACATGCCGTGCATTAATTCCAGGCATCATTGCACTCAGTATGCCAAACAGCCTCATAAGCTAGATATTATTAGCACCCCATTACAGATGCAGAAATTGACGCTTAGATAAGAAGGTACCTTACCCAAGATCTCAGAGCTCCCAAGTAGCATGGCTGGTCTTCCAAACCTGGTCATTTGAACTCTGGGACCAAGCCCTTTGCCCCACACAGCTCAGCCTGATGGGGTGTTTACTGGGGGCCAGGCTCCACTATGAGCATTTGAGATACTAAAACTCATTTCAGCTTACAACCACCCCGTCGGGTAGATACTTTCATTTTCTTCATTTTACAGATGTGGAAACTGAAGCCCTGGGAGGTGACAACTTGCCCAAGTTCACACGACTAGTATGAGCAGAGCTAGTATGCAAAGCCAGGTGGGCTGGCCTCAGTGTCTGCACATTTAACCACCACACTATACCAGCAGACATCTTAAAAAAGCCACTTGCATTTAGGTATGGACAGACTGTATATTGTTTCCAGCAGCTTTATCTTTCTAAAATGTGCATGTTTTATATGATCATAAGAAGCTGAAATGGCAAAAGGGAATAAAGGAAGATGTATAATAAGGTCCCAGATTTCTTTGCTTTTTTTTATCACGAAGTGTTTCGGATCACCAAAAGCATCTCAGATTCTTAGGATGGCCAGCCAAAATTCTACACTTATGCTCAACTTTCCAGAACATCCTCCTACGCTCCCTTTTCATTGCTGTCCACCCCTTTCTCCTCACTTGTCGTCTCACCTCTGCCTTCAGAAAGATGGGAGGAGAGGATGGGCCAAATCTTAGCATTGACAGGGGAGCCCTTCCAACCCCATGGTTACTTTCTCCTAAAACCTTGATGACCAAATTCCAATTGTTTTGTGGCGCAGAAAGAATGTAGACTAAAAATATACCACACAACATCCACGCAGTTGAATTCATGCTGCTTTAAAGAAGAATAGCATAAATCCACTCTATAAAGATGTTCACGACGTAGGCTTAAGGGGAAAAGAAATCAAACTTCAGAAGAGCAGTGTAGTGGTATATAATTTACGTGAAACACACACTCACACACAAACACACACCCCTCTGTACGTGCCTAGAAAGTTTGAACACCTCTCAGAGTGGGATGGGAGGGACAGCAGGGAATCGGGGAAGGTCCTACTGTCTGTCATATACGTATATACAAGGAGTGGATATTCCTTTCTTAATAGTAATAATATAGATAATAACGATAGTAACAAACCACTCAAGTCACAAACAAAAACTCTAGAATCGACAGTCCTAAGTTTTTCATGTTTTCGCCATCCACGGGTAAAAGTTAAGCTTTCTACCTCTTAGCTGCTTGATGCTCCAGGTAAGTTTTTATTTTTTATTTATTTATTTTTTGGCTTCCTTCCCACTTCGAGGCTAGCTAGAAAACATGGAACTTGCATGGCAGGCCTTCCAGAGTCATTGTGTTTCCGAGGATTAGAATGTAGCAATTCAAATTCGACACTGACTTTCGTGCAGTTCTGTGCTCAGATTATTTCCTACAGAACGGCTCCATTTATTTAATTATTTTTCAGGACAGTTTTTGGAAGGAGGTATTGACAAATGGGAAGGTGATGCACCTCCCCAAAGTCTATGAGTCAGTGTTTCTCATCGCTCTCAGCTCCCACGGAGAAGGCGCTGGAGGTGAAGGCTTCCAAACACAGCTACCAAAGGCTGAGGGGGCCGCCGTTCCACAGCGCCATCCCCGCAGAGGAGCAGGTGTGGCACAGGGCCTTCCTGCATGGGTCCCGCCCCCACGTCTTTGAGGATATTTATATTTGGCTTTTACATTCTCCCTCTTATTTCCTCTCTTCTTCCCCTACTCCTTCACACACACACACTTCCTCATTTTCCATAGCCCCAAACAACAGTGGTCTGATGCTGTCTTGTGAAATCAGCACCCCAGGACCACAGAGGAGGACAGAGGTTACTAGATGGGAGGCCAGGTGGTCTTTGGAGTCAGAGACTTGGGCTCCCATCTTAGTTCTGCTATTTACTAACTGTGGGACCTTGACGTGAATTGCTTAACCTCCCTACACCTCCATGTATTCACCTGAAAGATGGGACTGACAGTGACATCTTTCTCCCAGGCTGTGGTTTTGAGTTTCTAATAACCTAGTACACGGAAGTAGCAGAACAGACAGCAGCGGGTACTCAGACCATGACAATCTCCTTTCCCAGCAGCACGCCAGGACCAAGAACAAGAATGGATTCTGGTCAGAGATGTGGAACTCGGATAGGTCAAGGCAAGCACATGGTCTGGAGCAGGGAGAAGACAGTTGGGAGAGAGATTATCAGGCACTGGTGGTCTCAGTATGTGTGGGATCATGGGGCAAAGTGTCTGGTTCCCACAGAGAAGTTTTTATAGAGAGACCATTGAACAGAGCTGGGGCCAACTGTGCAGCCAAGCTGAGCCTGGAGGTGATGACAGGCCACTGATGACAGGGATTCCATTAGGAATGAGGCAGCTGATCACAGACCCAACACACAAGAAAAGCTATCCATCAACAAATATTTGGGGAGTCGTCTACTAAGTGTCAGCTCTGTACCAGGTTCTATGAGGAGAACAGTGCATAGCACTTAGGAGGCACTTGTATTTTTGTTGACTAAATAAATACGAGAATATGTTTTGAAGACCTACTATGTGCCAGGTAGTGCAATGGGTAGGTACTTTGCAAATTCTGCCTCATTTAACTGTCCTTATACTCACCATGACAATGGGTTTATCCCTGTTTTATAATTGAGTGAGCTGAGATTCAGAGAGATTATGGAACTTACCCCAAGTTTCATAGCCAGTAAGTAGCAGGGCCAACCTGACTCCAAAATCTACCCTCTTTCAATTAAACCGTACTCGTTCCCATTTATGGCCTAAAGAGCTGTTCTCAATCTGAAGGATCATGTGATCAAATAGGAAGAAGGAGGCCTAAGGAGAAAAAGTAAAGAGTGTGATATCTGCACATCACAATATAGCTCGGCCCGGGCCACGTGGAGGGCCCTCCACTTTCTGTGGAATGATGGGAAACATGTTCTACGTTACTCCATCAAGAGGATGGAGTGAGATTCCTCCTAATAGAGCCTCAGGCCATGACTCAGGAAGCTGTGAGCCATTTAAAACCCTGCCTTTGCTTCCCCCATTGAAGGTGAGCCCTTCCTCTACCTACCTTCACGACACCATCCCGCTCTATGCTCAGACCGTGAGGGAGATGATCCAGGCTGGAAGAGATTTCCGGGATGGGCGGCAGTTGGTCGGCACTCTGAAAGGTTCCAATCAGACTGCACTGCAGGGTAAGTGGTTAGACTGCTGATGGGTTTTCTGGACTCAGGCCTGCAGCCCAAATCGGTGGGGCTTTGAGACGTCGGGCGTGTGATTAAAAGCCTGCCTCACGCTGAGTCATTCCTGGAGACTCAAGTCTTCTGTAAGGGGTGCTTGAGGTTAAACCTCCCAGCTGCCACAGCCCACTCTTCCTGCTCTGTCCAGAAGGCTGCCCAGACCAGCTGAGAGGACCTCTGGGCTACCTTATCCCCTGCCCTCTGGAAACTCTCTCCCATAGCTCCATTCAAACAGAATCCATCAAGAATAAAACTGAGGAGAGCCAGACCTGCCTCCTGGGGGTCATTTCCATAATCCTTCCCATCCTGCGTCCTCCCTGGTGGGGCGCTGGGCCTGATTCATGACTATCAACCTCTAAAGATGGCGCCTATCCCATTGGACTTCCTTGCAGGGGTGAGGATTGGCTTGGAAGTGAACTGTTTTAAAACGACCCTGGGAGCTGACCAACTGCTGTCTCTTTGTGTACTCCAGTTTTCTCATTTGTAAGACAGAGAGAACACCTCCTGCCACATATCATCATAATAACCAGCATTTATTGAGGGCTTACGTTATACCAAGCTGGGTGCCAAGAGCTTCTGTGGGCTAGCTCATTTAATTCTCACACAACCCGGGAGGGAGTCTGTTACTAACTGTATGATGCTCCACAGGTGAGTAAACGCAGGGTAGAAAGATTATGTACTTGTCCAAGGTCACAAAATTACTAAATGGTGGAACCAGAAGTCAAAATGAGGCCTGCCTTTCCCCAGGGCTCCTGTTCTTCACCGCTGTGTGACGCTGGGAGCCAGTGAACTATCTCAAGGGCTCGGCACATGGGATGCTCAGTAAATGGTAGCTATTTATCTTTTCTTTGGCTTATCACTCACTTAATAAATTACGACCTAAATTTTGTTCTAAAATTTAAAGACAGGGGCTAAGTCTTGCTCTTTGGGGTTTTCATAGGCTCAGTTCACATTTACCCCATCAACACCTTTGCCAAGTGGAAATATTAACCTGCCTCTCTTCCTTCTTTTCTTCCTGACCCTGAAGCATTTGCTTAAAAAAAAAAAAAAAGGGAGGTTGGGGGAGTCTGTCTTCCTGTTCTCAGTGTAATCCCCCCTGCCAGATCAATTAATTCCTCTTTCCTGCCTTCCAGAAATTCCCAGGGCCTGAATGAGGGGAGGGTGTGAAGGCAGCGAGGTCCTTCAATAGAGTCCGAGGCATCTCACCTTGGTTTGGGGGTGCCTGGGCTCCTTTCAGGGACTCAAGGCTGAAGGATCCCCCGCCCCTTCCAAACTGGCTTCTGTTCCCTTACGGGCTGCAGGACTGGCCGTTGACAGGATTAGGATATTTGTCTCTGTTTCTTGTGTTCATTTCTGCCACATGGTGCGGCCAGGACCACAGCCACACAACTTACCAGTGCCAAAAGCCCTTACACCAGCTGGGAAGAGTCCGCCTGTCAGTCGAGGAGGCCAAATTAGGAAACGGAACGGCCATCACGTCTTTGTGCAGTGAACAAACCACACACTGCAAGCAGCCACCCTCCTGTCATTGTCACATTTGCTGCAGCCCCACACCCCTGTGCAAACCTTGGGAGGGAGCTGTGCTTGACTTCATATTCAGGATGCCAGCGTGCATGTGTGCACAGCAAGCAGTGTGGGATGCTGGGAGGAACATGGTATTGGGGCCCAGGAGGCCTGCCTCTTCCCGGGTCTGGAAACTTGGCCAAGTCTGTGCCTCCAGGCCCCACTTGTTAGCAGTGGATGACGTTGCCTCCTCTGCAGGGTGGATTGGGACTAGATGTGTGAATTCACCATGACCCACAGTGTCGGGGACATAGTAGGTGCATAATAAATGGTGATTTTGTGTCCCATCCCCAAGTGCCCAGTGGGGCAAATCAGCAATAAGTCCTATGTCAGCCCATGGGTCCTAGTTTGGGTGTGGAGGAGCTTTACTTTACTCCTCCAGGATCTGTGCTGTGTCCTTTCTGCGTGGGGTTGAGCACATTTTAAGCAAGAACAAAGAACGCACCTGAGCCAGGCCTGAGCGCTAACCAAAACCAGCAGGGGGGGTGCACTGAGAACAAAGCTTGCAAACCAGTCCCCCAGTGCCTGAGGCGTGGAGTGGGTGCGGGGAGGAGGGTGGTAGGAGCTGGGTGGAGGCAGCTGTCTCCAGCCCCGGCCAACTGCTGCCATGTCATTTGGCCTCCTTTTGTCACATCTGATTGTTCTGGGGAGGCATAAATCTTGGGTTTTATGTGAAATTAATTGGAAACTGCTTAACTTATTTTTTGTTAATGCTGGATAGGCCTCGCCAGCATAGGCCTAACAAAATACATCTGCCTGCCCACAGTGGCCCTTGAGCTCCACCAGGGTACCATCTTCAAACTTCCTTCTTTTTCTCACTCCCCTCTTTGACCCTCTCTTGGATGCCCTGAAATGGTAAAAACTTCATGGCTGGTTTTCAGTGGCTGCTGGGGGAGGGGTTCTGCTGATATGAGCCAGCAGGCTGGCATTTCCAGCCACGTGCTCCTCTCTGTCCTCCTTACTGTGTACCATCTTCTCTTTTCCAGGAATCACTGGCCCCGTGTTTTTGGACTCCCGGGGAGAAAGGTGCAAGGATTACGCGGTCTATGCCATACAGAAATCGGGAAACTGGTCCCTCTTCCTTCCCATCCTTCAATATGACAGCTACCAGAAAGTGATCAGGTAGGGGCAGGACATCTCCTCTCTGCAGGAAGAGATCTGGGAGGAGAGGGAGGGCCAGGGGTCCTGCAGGGAGGCCAGTTTGGAATCCAGCTCCTAGAATCCACCACAGGTTGTCTGGTGCTCTCTGAACTCACCAAGATCCACGTTGGGGCATTAAGATGATCTCGTCCTTGATTGTGGTTGTGGCTCAGCCACTTTAGATTCCAGTTGAGAACACGGCACCGGCTAACTGCACCTCTGCAGGGGCCTGGGCCTCCTCTGATGCTCCAGCCAGGCAGGTCCTACTGGCCCACGGTCTCAGGGAGAGGCCCTGGCTCAGTGGGGGTGATGGGGCACAGCGCCCCCTGCAGGGTCGGATCCACAGTCAGCAAAACCCTCTCATCCAGACAGCCTGACTCCAAAACAGATAGCCATGTAGACACCGGGCCCTGGTGCTGTCCTGGGTTCCCAGAACCCAGGAATCCCTGGAAAAATCTCTGTTTCTGTTCTCTCAGCTATAAATCAATGAGAAAACCAAGAGGAAACCTAAAGCTTAACTCAGTTTCTATTTGTCCCAGCCATCACCACCCTTAATCCAGATTTGATTTGGTACTGTTTTTCTCCCCTATTCTTGTGGAATTTTAAGGTACCAAAGTGGGTTGACGCAGGAAATGAAATAACCAGGGCAGACTAGGTCCACAGTACTGTAGGAACAGGCATTCTCCTTGTCGGGGGAGATGTTTTGGTCTGTGAAATGTCAAGGTGATCTGTAACAAGATTCATCTATATCCAACATGGGAGAAAACCCCAGCAACCCTGGAGAATTGGAGCATCTTTTTAAAATCAAAAGTGACATGGTTTAAATAAAAAGATTGAGTCAGCTATTCTTCCTGGCTGAAAGATATCGCTCTTCGTGAAGTAGGTTGCCTGTAGGCTGGATTTAAAGTCAGGTGAAGTGGGAAAATTGCACAAGTCATAGGAAGTTTGAAGTCAGAGACGAAGGCCTGCTGTTTTGCAAATGACATGCTCAAATTTGCTCAAATATTGAATCAGAATCTATGCTATATCTGAGGTAGACACAAGCGGAATAAATCAAGTGAGCGTTGTGTTTAATTGTCTTTTTTTTTTTTAAGACCCGTGAGGAATTTCTCCATTATCACTTGGCCTCATGGCTCCCTTCCTGAAGACAGACCTGGCTGTGGATTTTACAAAGAGCTCTGTGAAGCTGAGCCGGCTTTTACAGGTCAGTGTGGGCTCTTAGAGTAGCTGGAAGGCCTTCTCTACAGCAGAACTTCCCAACAGCGGCAGCATATTGACATTCTGGGTGGGATAATCTTTGCGTGTGTGGGGCTGTCCTGTGCATTGTAGGATGCTGAGCAACATCTCTGGTCTCCACATACTAGAGGCCAGAGGTACCCTCTAATTGTGACAACCCCAAATGTCTCCATATGTTGACAAATATTCCCTGGGGAGGCAGCATCGCCTGCCTCCCCAGTTGAGAACCTCTCCTCTAGGGAAACCTGGCTCCTGAGGGTTGAGTCTCAGGAGCTTCATTTCTAAGGCAGTAGAAAGAGTCTGGACAGAGGAATGTTGTTTGGTGGTTAGGAGCCCAACCCCGAAATTAGATGGATAACGCCTGAGAACAACCCTAAGGGGAGCACATAGTAAATATTTAATAAAAGATGGTGGTGGTATTAGAAGTCATCATTACTATCTCTCTACTATGGAAGTTTCTATACAAAGCGGGAGGTGAGCGCAGTTGCCATGGGAACCAGAGGGGAGGACAGGAAAGGATTCCTGGAAGAGACAAGGGTGAGTGGATTCAGTGTGTCCTAACTTGGACCCACACCTGGGCAGCCTTTGAGCATCTGCTTGGCAGAGCCAGGCTGCGGCCAGGATGTGCTCACTTCTCTCTTAGGCTGGCCTCAGCAACAATATGTCTCTGTCCTCCAAGTATGACTGCTGGGATCCTCACGATGACCCTTCTTATTACTGTCTTGGAAACTGTCATCATAGGTTTGATTTTGAGGATACAGAGGGGAAAACTGCGGGGGCAAAATAAAGACATTTGGTGGCAAATCAATTATGATGACATCACCATTCTGCCCCAGAACAAGGTGAGGCCACAGCTGGCCCAGACATCCAGTTTCCTGCTCACTGCTGGTGATCTGTAGATGGGACCTCATTCAGGAGTTTAGGAGAGCAGAGGTTGGCTCATTTATAGTGAGAGCTTAATGGAGAGTCTTGAGGCCTGAGTTCTGGTTCTAGGCCTACCACTTCCTTGCTGAGTATCTGGGAACATCATTTCTGGGCCTCAGTTTCTGAATACTTGAAAATGATCAGATGGTCTCTAAAGTTCCCTTCAGCTCTATTACCCTGTGGGGATAAGAACCCATCTATCCTGCTCGAATATTAAGGCTATCTCCTGGGGAGCATTTAGTAGTTTTCAAAGTCATATTAACTCCTCTAGTCTACTGACAACTAAGACAGTAAGGTTCATTTGCTCAACACACACATGTTGCACATCTACCGCAGGCCAAGCATAGGGCAAGGCATGGGGACACACCACAGAGGAGATGCCTTCTGATGGGGACAAGTGCTCTGAGAGGTGTCCACAAGGTGAGACAGAAGCCCTGCACATGGAAGGACGAAATGTCTCAGCATCGTGAGAGCTTCAGAGAGGAGGTGACCTTTGGGAAGAGTGATTTTACTTGCGGTGACCAGGAGAGAAGTACACAAGGTGTGCCAAGATGTGGGGTGTACTGGGACTTTGCAGGTACCAAGTCAAAGAGGCTTCAATATGCTAAGACCAGGAGATTGGGGTTCACTAGTAGGTCATTTTCAAAGGTCCCTGGGCTTCTGGGGCTCACTGTCTAGTCTTGGGGTGAGTGGCAGGTTGAGGGCGGAGGTGTGGTGGGGAGGAATACTTCCTCTTCCCTCTTCAGCCAAAGCAGCTCTGCTGTGATCTACCTGGTTTCTACCTTGTGGTTCCGGGTGAGACTCTCCTTGAAAAACAGGATTCCTCTGTTTTAGGCACATTCTCTAGGTGCTGGGGATGCACTGGGGGTGTTAGAGAGGTAACACGGTTAGCCGCTCATTTAGAGAAATGACTCTGACACCAGGTCACACATTGAGTAAGTGCCAGAGCCGGAGCTTGAATTTGGGCAGTCTGACGCCAGAGCCTTAACCATGACACTGTCCGTTGGTGGTACAGATGCAAGATGGATGCTTATAACAGTTAAGCACTCACACTTTGGGTCAAAGAGATCAGGGTTCGAGTCCTTACTCTCCCATTAATTAACTGTGTGACCTTGGCACTCATTTTCCTCATCTATAAAAGGTACAGTCTCTTCGGTACTTGATCATACTCCTGAGAGCAACAGAATCATGTCCTGTTTTACAGCTGTCCCAGAGAAGCTCACCTGTGTCAAGAGTGAACAACAGTAATTTGTCTAGTGTGATGATTTCTAGGAACTTCAGCTCCTTTGTCAAGAGCCAGCATGGGGAAGAGCTCTTTTATGCCCCAGTAGGCTTTACCAGGTACTTCTGTGGGCGAGGTGGCGCATGTAGCTGTTAGTGTATGTCTATGTTTTCTGCATGTCCTTGCTGTCAGACAGGGCATTCGGAATAGGGGGACATTCTCCAAGCAAAAGCCAAGGTAGTCTTGTGACTCCAGACTGGTGCTTCTCGAAATTTAATGTGCATATGAATCACCTAAGGCTCTTGTTAAAATGCAGAGTCTGGTTCAGTAGGTCTGGGGTGGGGCCTGAGATTCTGCATTTTCTCTAACAAACTTCCAGTTGATTCCTATGTTGACTTTTAGATTAGACTCAACTCTGTCCAATAGAACTTTCTATGAAGATGGATATATTCCAAATCTGCATGGTCCAACATGGTAGCCACTACCATCATGGGATTATTAAACATTAGTGTGAGAGGGGAACTGAATTTTAAATTTTAAATAATTAAATTAAATTTAAATTGAATTAGCCCCATGTGGCTAGTGGCTACCTTATTGGACAGTGCAGTCCTAGAGCATGGATTATTTCATTCTTGGTACCTTAGCACTGATGGCCTAGTCACGGGTACTGATGCTTCTGCTGTGTAAACAGTGGCAGCTGCTGAGGCCTACAGCATGATTCCTGCCTGCCCTTTCTCACCCTCTCTTCTACACCCCAGATCATTACGGCTGCCTGTGCTTGGCACTCCTTCAGAAGTTCAAGGCCCCTGGGAGAAAATTATGTAAAGGAATAACAAATCTATATTTATTCTTTAAAATGGAGTTCCTGAAGAGTAAGGGCAAAGAGCTCCAAGCAAGGGAAGACTTGTTCCTTGCTCTAAATTGGGTTTAGCAAAGATTGGAACCAAGTCATTCCCTATGCAACTGAACTTATTTTTCTAAATGTTTGTTTACTTGAATTTCAAACTACAAAACCCTCCTGGGATATTACCAACTGTAAAACCCTAAGGACCACCATTCATACAAAACTGTATATTATAGTCAACTAGCTATTTAGAGATGGAAGCCAACAATCCACAGCATATCACAATTGGTTAACCTTCCTCAAAAGTATTTCCCTCCTCTCTCAAAAAGCTTCACTGGGTTCCCCATCTCTGTTGCTTGAATGATGGTGTCCAAACTCTTTTAAGAAGGGATTCAAGGCTCTCTATTGCATAGACCCAACCTACCTTAAGAAGTTTTTTTCCTGGCCTAAATCCTATGCTTATCAATTGGTCCTGCTGATTATGCCATGTATGTTTCACCCTCATACGATGCCGTGCCCGCTGCCCTTTCTCCTACCCCATCTGGAACCTTCTTATCCTTCAAGGTTCAGCTTAAGCATCACCTCTTTCTAGAAGCCTTTCCTTCATCACACAGGAATTCCTTCCTCCTTGGAACTCCCATCACAGTCCTTAGTCCTTTTGCTACTAATCCCATACTAAAAGTGCCAGATCTCAGGTTGACATTTAACTCATCCCGAAACTTACTTTCCCTTGTTTCCAGATTCTCTCTCTTCTTCTACCCAGATCTTTCCCGGCTGTTGTATAATTTTGTGGTGATTGATTAAATGACTCTCTAAAAGCAGACTCAATAGGTAATAACAATAGGATATACCACTTACTGAAAACTTGACATGTGCCAGCAACAACCTTGTGAGACAGCTTTTATTTTTATATTTCAATTTCTGTGTAGACTACATCATGTTCACCAGCCGAAGACCAATTACGATCCATCATCATACACGTTTTTATTTTTTTATTTTTAAGGAAGATTAGCCATGAGCTAACATCTGCTGTCAATCCTTCTCTTTTTGCTGGGGAAGACTGGCCCTGAGCTAACATCTGTGCCCATCTTCCTCTGTTTTATGTGTGGGATGTCTACCACAGCATGGCTTGATAAGTGGTGCGTAGGTCTGCACCAGGGATCCAAACTGGTGAACCCTGGGCCGTTGAAGTGGAGTGCATGAGCTTAACCTCTATGCCACTGGGCTGGCTCCACATAGTTTTATTTTTAATCTCCATTGTGCAGATGAGGAAATGGAGGCTTGCAGAAGTTAAATCCCTTGCTCCAGGTTATGCAGGTAGTCAGCAGTGGAAATGAACTTTGAACCAGTTATCTGACTCCAGACTTACGTTTATGACCTCAACTCACTATTCTCCTGAAAGTCAATGGGACGTTATTGTATAACAGAAAAAAGTGTAGTCACGGAGTCAGACATTCAAATTCTGGCTGTATTACCTACAAATGCGTGACCTTGAAAACATCACTAACCTCAGGGATCCCATCTGGAAATGGGCTAATCATACCCATTTGCAGGACTGTGACACATGTTAACTGAGCTCTTATGTGTTGAGCAGCTAGCTCAGTGCCTGGACATAGCACAGCGCCACCCTAGGGCTGATTTGGGCAGTGTGAAGCTTGATGATCCCTCTGTCACTAGATTTCTTGCCAGTCTTCCTCTTCTCCATTCCTAGCTCTTTCTGAGTGGAGCTTTTTCTGGATCATCCTGGAGTAAGAACATTCCCCTTTGTCTCCGGCTCCAGGGAAACTATGTGGCCATCTGCCATGTCGGTGACCAAGCAGAAGCCTGGGTCAGGAAGCTGTCTGTGCTGCAGGAAATCTGGCAGGTGAGGCCCTCACCCGTGGGAGGAGACAAAGTGGCTTTGTTCTTTGGCCCTTTCCTGCCAGCTATCTGTTCCCACCTTGGATGGGGCTGGCCCCCTGTTCCAAAGGAGCAACGCTGGGAGACTGCTTCCTTTAACTTGGCCCGCTACCCCCATCCCCCGACAGCCCAGACTTTAGTCTTCAGACCCTTTGGCCTGACTTGAGCAGCTGAAGCTTGAGATCCTTCCTAGCCTTGCTCTTTCCCTTAATTCCTCCTGGCCTTAATTCTGCCTCTTCCTTTGTGTCTGTGGGCAGAATTTTTTTTTTTTTTGGTGAGGAAAATTGTTCTTGAGCTAACATCAGTCGCCAATCTTCCTCTTTTTGCTTGAGGACGATTGTCCCTGAGCTAACATCTGTGACAATCTTCCTCAATTTTGTATGTGGGACACCGCCACAGCATGGCTTGATGAGCAGTGTGTAGGTCTGTGCCTGGGATCTGAACCCACGAATCCCAGGCTGCTGAAGCGGAGTGCACGAACTTAACCATTATGCCACCGGGCCGGCCCCTCGGGTAGAACTTTTTACCCCAAAGAAAGTCTAATTACTAGACCATGAAGCGAGCTGGGGAGGGGGATTCCTAATACCCCTCTCTTCCCCCTAGTCCCCAATTCCTTTCCCCAGAAAATGAGGATCAAGGCCAGAGTAACCATAATGCCGTTGACCTATGAGGTAGAATGGGGATGCAGATCTGAGAAGGTATATAAGCAGGTAGAATCTTTACTTTGGGCAAAGAGGGCTGTGGTGGCTGCAAAGAAGAGAATAATAATAATAATGATAGTAATAAATAGCAAAAATGTATTTAGTGCTTACTTTAGCCTAGATACTTTGTAGCACTTTGTATATATTAGTTTATTTAATTTTCATGACAAAATATAAGGCAGATCTCTTATTATCCCCATTTTACAGGTGGGAGATGGTTGGGGGGCCATGTCAGAATGGACCAGCATCCTGAGGCTGCTGTCTTCACCCTGGGCTAAAATCTAGCCGCTCTTTCTAAGCTCGCTGCATCTGCTTTTACCATCAGAGGGGCCCAAGCCAATGACCTGGGAGTGGGTCCTGGTGAGGAAGCCCCTCAGTCTGACATACAGCAGCAGGGCAGGGACCAGTCATCATCTGTCAATCAACAGTCCATCCATCAACCAACAGACTCCTATGGGCAAGACCCAGCCTGGGTGTTGTGAGGGATAAAAGGATGAGACATAAAATCTGCCCTCCTGGAGTATAGGGCCAGTGGCTTATTGAGTGACTGTGGCAAGTTACTTCCTCTCTCAGGACCTCAGCCTCCATGTAGGTTTAACGGGTGAGGTTGGCCTGATTGACACTGAAGTGCTTTTCTTCCTCAAGGATTTGATTCCACTTTGTTTCTAAGGAGCTGAATCTTAATAGCCCTATGAGACTTTGATTTCCTAGGCCTTGGGGTAAAGCCAGCATACTGTTACCAAGCAAGGTGGACAAACAGAAACCTGAAAGTGATTAGGTCTCCGTGGACAATGCTGGGCCACTACTGTTATTATTTCAGTAAAACATTATCGACTGTCTATTAAGGGTTTGTCCTACTCTGAGCAGTTTTATAGGAGGACAAGGACTCATTTCCAGCTTTGAATGGCTTAAAATCTAGCTAGAGAGAAAAAATTTAAAACAGTCAGGAAATGTACATATAAAACTATTTAAGTGGCAGTGAAACAGTTATAAAATAGGGGGATCTGACGTGGCACCCTCTCCTCCTCTGGGCTCCTCTCTCCCTCTCTTCACCCACTTTCCCTTCCTTTCCCACCAAGCCCAGGGAAGTACTGTAGACTCTGAACTAGATAGATCTAGAATGACCTGTCTCCTGCCTGAGTCAAAACAGCTCACATCATTTACGTAGTATGTGAGGAGAAAGCTAGTAAGTTCTCACCAAGGTATGAATGACTAAGAGATTTAGGCTTTTCAGTGTGGGCATTTGGCTTTCAAGAAGCATTACCCTAAAGCTTTCTCTGGAGCAATGTTGGGGTGGGTGAGAATGGCAGTTTGAAGGGGAAAATGTCCCTGGTAGCCATCAGCTACTCCAGGTCACTGAGTCTATCCGGTCTAAGCCAGAAGAACAGAGGACAGCTTGACCCCTTGCTTTGGAAGGATTGCTGTCTCCTGAAATGGAGACTTTATGGGATGGTGTGAGGAAGTCACAATGAGCTAGGTCACAGTACATTTAGGCCCTCAAGGCCAATTACTCTGCCTACATCCTTTGAAAGGAGACTAAGAGTAGCAGAAAATTCATGGCAGCCTCTTAGAGCTTTGCCATGGATGACTTTGACATGAACCCAGGCACTGGGCCAAGCTCTGTGGGTCAGATTGAGTTTCTGGCCATCATGTATCAATCATAAAAACAATTCCTCTCCCGATGTCTGACTAGAAACTCTTCTATACCAGGTACCAGAGAGATTCCGAGATGATGCAGACTTTTCAAGCAATAAACATGTGTTGATTGAGCGTGTCATTTGGATCAGACCTGATTCTGGCCACGGAGGGCACAGAGGAATAAGGCTCATTGTCTTGTCCCCAAGGAGGTCAACCCACTGGGGCCAGCCTGGGAAGATGCTGAGGAGAGCATAATACTCTTCTGGAGTTGGGGAAGGGCCTTCATTTCTCAGTAAGACAAGTCTTGGAGGATAAAGAGGATGAAGGGCAGTTTGGCATAGGAGTTGTCTTGGGGGTTTGAACCCAGACTCTGACACTTACTGGCGAGGTGAACTTAACTACCCTGAGCCTCAGTTTCCCTGTGTATAAAATAAAGATAATAGCAGTACCTACCTCATCAGGTTGTTGTGAGGACTAAAGTGTGTAAAATGCTTAGCACCACGCCTACCCCATAACAGGTATCCAATAAAGTTCATTGTTGATATTAGTAGTGGCAGTGGTATTGCTATCTATTATCACAGATGACTCCATTACTCGGACTAAAACAACGTACATTTTCTTCTTTAATTCCCCCGACAATCCTATGGGAATAAGCCAGCACTGTCAAAATATGGTAGCCACCAGCCGCATGTGACTATTGAACACTGGCAATGTGGCTAGTCCAAATTGAGATGTGCTATAAGTGTAAAATTCACACTGGATTCCAAAGACTTAGTGAAAAAAAAAAGAGTGTAAAATATCTCACTAATATTTTTATGTTGATTACATGTTGCAATAATAAGATTTTTAGTACATTGGGTTAAACAAAATATATTATTAAAATTAATTTTACCTGTTTAAAAACTTAAAATTACACATGTGGCTTGCATTGTTTCAATTGGATAGTGCTCTTAGTAATTAACAATTAACTCCGTTATTAATTCATCTTAATGCATATTTTTTTTTCCTGTGGAAGATTAGCCCTGAGCTAACATCTGTGCCAATCTTCCTCCACTTTATATGTGGGTCACCACCTCAGCAGGGCAGATGAAGGGTGTAGGTTCACACTTGAGATCCGAACCTGTGAACCTGGGCTGCCAAGGCAGAGGGCACTGAACTTAACCACTATGCCACAGGGCTGGGCTAATGCCAATAATAATATTTACTCCATTTTCAAGAGGAATAAAAATGAGGCTTAGTGAGATGAAGTAACCTGCCCAACTGGTAAGAGGCAGGGTGGGATTTGCAGCCAGTCTGTCTTCACAGGCTGAGTTCTTTCTTCCATGCTATGCTTCCTCCTGCTAAGTACCAGAGAATGCAGATGTGGGATCCTGAGATATGAGCCCTGTGGGCTACCCCCAACTTCCTAGTAGGGAAATAAACATAACTAGCAGACAGGTGGGTGATAGCATTGCTGAAAGTGCATGAAATCCTGGCATATAAATTATGAAACCTCTCATAGTTCTATTTGTTCTGTGACAACATACATAAAATCATACATTTCCATCAAGATAGGAAAAAAACCAACAAAAACAACGACAAAGAAATGCGTGTCATCTCCTGGATAGGACTACATTCCTAGGATTCCAAGCGTCCCTACACATGGGATGATCAGCAGATGTCAGGGGTGATAAGTGGCGACCAGATGTAGAATGTCTCACGCCTGGGGTGGGCCTGGCATTAGCAAGGGTAGGGACAGTCGTGTGTGTCAGGAACAGTCCTGCTACATGGAGGGGTCTCCATGAGGTCAGAAGGAACTCTGGATTGAACACAGGTCTCCCCAGATTTCAAGCCCAGGCCTGGCCGGTTGGAGCCTCCCTGGAGAAATTCCAGAGGCAGCCCCAGCCAGGCCCCTCCAGGTCTGGTTGAAGGGGTTGCATTGCCAAAATGTGATTCAACTTTATCCTCTCAAAAAGCAAACAAGTCACAGTGATAAAGGCGGACAGCCTCCTGCTTTTTTTGCTGGGTGGGGGTGGCGAGGGTGTACTCATTGTTCTGTATGTTTCCTTATTGCTTTCTGATTAGCCTGTATTTCTTTTTTTTTTTTTATTGAGTTAATGATAGGTTACAATCTTGTGTGATTTCAGTTGTACATTAATGTTTGTCATTCGTGTTGTAGGTGCACCATTTCACCCTTTGTGCCCACCCCCCACCCTACCTTTCCCCTAGTAGCCACTAGTCTGTTTTCTTTGTCCACATTTTTAAATTCCTCATATGAGTGGAGTCATACAGAGATTATCCTTCTCTAACTGGCTTATTTCACTTAACATAATTCCCTCAAGGTCCATCCATGTTGTTGCAAATGGGATGATTGTGTTCTGTTTTGCAGCTGAGTAGTATTCCATTGTATATATATATACCACAACTTCTTTATCCATTCGTCTGTTGACGGGCACTTAGGTTGCTTCCATGTCTTGGCTATTGTAAATAATGCTGCAGTGAACATTGGGGTGCACAGGAATTTTGGAATTGCTGACTTCAAGCTCTTTGGATAGATACCCAGTAGTGGAATGGCTGGATTGTATGGTAGTTCTATTTTTAATTTTTTGAGGAATCTCCATACTGTTTTCCATAGTGGCTGCACTAGTTTGCATTCCCACCAACAGCGTATGAGGGTTCCATTCTCTCCACAACCTCTCCAACATTTGTTACTATTAGATTTAGATATTTTTGTCATTCTAATGGGTGTAAGGTGATATCTCAGTGTAGTTTTGAGTTGCATTTCCCTGATCAGCGATGATGAGCATCTTTTCATGTGCCTATTGGCCATCCGTATATCTTCTTTGGAGAAATATCTGTTCATGTCTCCAGCCCATTTTTTGATCGGGTTGTTTGATTTTTTGTTGTTGAGTTGTGAGAGTTCCTTATATATTATGGATATTAAGCCTTCGTCAGATAAATGACTTGCAAATATTTTTTCACAGTTAGTGGGTTGTTTTTTTCTTTCAATCCTGTTTTCATTTGCCTTGAAGAAGCTCTTTAGTCTCATGAAGTCCCATATGTTTATTCTTTCTATTGTTTCCCTTATCTGAGAAGACATGGTGTCCGAAAAGGTCCTTTTGATACTGATGTCAAAGAGTGTACTGCCTACGTTTTCTTCTAGAAGCCTTATGGTTTCAGGTTTCACCTTTAGGTCTTTGATCCATTTTGAGTTTATTTTGGTGAATGGTGAAAAAGAATGGTCAATTTTCATTCTTTTACATATGGCTTTCCAGTTTTCCCAGCACCATTTTTTGAAAAGACTTTCTTTTCTCCATTGTATGCACTTAGCTCCTTTGTTGAAGATAAGCTGTCCATAGATGTGTGGTTTTATTTCTGGGCTTTCAATTCTGTTCCATTGATCTGTGCCCCTGTTTTTGTACCAGTGCCATGCTGTTTTGATTACTGTAGCTTTGTTGTATGTTTTGAAGTCAGGGATTGTGATGCCTCCTGTTTTGTTCTTTTTTCTCAGGATTGCTTTAGCAATTTGGGGTCTTTTGTTGCCCCATATGAATTTTAGGATTCTTTGTTCTAATTCTGTAAAGAATGTCATTGGGATTCTGATTGGGATAGTGTTGAATCTATAGATTGCTTTAGGTAGAATGGACATTTTAACTATGTTTATTCTTCCAATCCACGTACATGGAATGTCTTTCCATCTCCTTATGTCGTCGTCCAATTCTCTCAGAAAGGCCTTGTAATTTTCATTATATAGGTCCTTCACTTCCTTAGTTAAATTTACCCTGAGGTATTTTATTCTTTTTGTTGCGATTGTGAATGGTATTGTGTTCTTGAGTTCTTTTTCTGTTAGTTTGTTATTAGAATATAGAAATGCTACTGATTTATGCAAATTGATTTTATACCCTGCAACTTTGCTGTAGTTGTTGATTACTTCTAAGAGTTTTCCAATGGATTCTTTGGGGTTTTCTATATATGAGATCATGTCATTTGCAAACAGCAAGAGTTTCACTTCTTCCCTCCCTGTTTGGATTCCTTTTATTCCTTTTTCTTGCCTGATTGCTCTGGCCAGGACCTCCAGTACTATGCTAAATAAGAGTGGTGATAGAGTGCATCCTTGTCTTGTTCCTGTTTTCAGGGGGATGGTGCTCAGTTTTTGCCCATTGAGTATGATGTTGGCTGTGGGTTTATCATATATGGCCTTTATTATGTTGAGGTAGTTCCCTTCTATGCCCATTTTGTTCAGAGTTTTTATCCTAAATGGCTGTTGGATCTTGTCAAATGCTTTCTCTGCATCTATTGAGATGACCATGTGGTTTTTATTCCTCAGTTTGTTGATGTGGTGTATCACGTTGATTGATTTGCAGATGTTGATGATTAGCCTGTATTTCTAATGCGATATTGGCTCAAGGCTCTTGCTAAAGTGGAATAGTGACTCAGCCTATCACTGCTGGAGGAAGAGGTGAGTCCCTGAGCTGGTCCCCAAGAGGCCCAAGGACCCCGTCTCTGGGTGCAGTAGTCCATTCAGGAGCCCTCCTCACATTGAGGGCCAGCGCTTCCTCATAGCCATGCCCATGGTGACATCATGCCCCTTCTCAGCTGGGCTTGAGATTCGTCTGAACCAAGCTGTTCCTGTATAACTGTGTTAGGGGAATGGATGTGCTTGGACCCACCCTCCTTCTCCTTCTCATCCTCCTCTACAATCACCAAGGGCACCAGAAGCAGTAAAATCTAGTGGTTTAGAAGCGGCTAGACTCCAAAGGCAACCCAACCTGGGTTTGTATCCCATCTCTGCCCCGACTCCATGGGAGCAGTTTAAAATCATGAATTTCCTCATTGTGAAATAGGCAACAAGAATATTAACCTATCTCAGGAGAGACTAAATGTAATCATATGTATGGGGTACTCTTCTCCTAGTACTTCAGTGCATAGTGCAAAGTAAGTCACAAAAAAAGGTTTATTACTATTTATTTTTTCATCATGGGTCCATATTACAGTATGGATTTCCATGGAACCTCATGGCTGAAATGAAATACCCAATCACTTCTCACTCTCTGCCCTTCATAGGCTTCTTTCATCAGCAGAGGGGCAGTTGGGCAATTGGTCAAGGGCACAGACTTGGCAATCCAACTGCAGAATTCCTAGTCTGGCTCCACCACTGGCCAGCTATGTGACCTGGGTCAGGTTCATTTCTTTGTTTCTCCCTTTCCTCATCTGTAAAATGAGGTTGATGATAATACCACCTACCTCTACAGGGTCACCAGAGGGATTACATGAGTTAGTTTAAATAAGGGACTTAGAACAATACCTGGCATAAGGTTAGCACCCTAAACTTAAAAAAAAAAAGTCCTGTAAGACCCTTGAGAGAGAGACGTTGTCGTTTTTGCTCTTGCTCTGAAACTTCTCGGCTGAGGCAGTTGAGAGGAGCCAGGTACCAGGCCGATGCAGGGAAAATGGAAGGTAAGAAAATAAAACACCAAGACAACAAACAATGGGTGCCCCTATCTCCCTGAACTATTAGGGTCTGCTTCTGAAACACAGTTGGTTCTTTTCTCTAACTTCATTTCACTGTTTCTAGGTCTGCCCCTTGGAAATGTCAGAGAGATACAAACATCTGTCTGTCTAATTACGTTTCAGATATGACAGGTTTCATTTTCCAAATTGCTGTCTTCTTCTGTTTGCCCTCCCAACATAATTGTCTCCCTCCTCAACTCCAGGTCTTTCTTCAGGCCCCTTTCTGCCCATGGAAAGACCCCCCCACTCTGCTCTCAGCTCCTTGCTGAATGAGATTATCATTTTTGAACTCACCTCCCTTAGCAAGCTTGTCAGATCAAGCACTCTTTGCCCCATTCTCATCATTCTCCTGCTTTGGGTTCCTTAGCACTCATGCTTAGCCTGTACCTTGTATAATCTGCAGCTAATAGAGGTTCTTCTGTATGGCCCCAAGCCTTGGTATTTTCTTTTTAAGCTCTCCAGGTGATTTTAATGTGCGGCCAAGGTTGGAAACAATTGACGAGGACAGATCTTCTCAGACTAATGTGCATATGAACATTCCGGGGATCCGGTTAGAATGCACAGTCTGATTCAGTAAGTTTGGGCGGGGCCTGAGACTCTGCATTTCTGTCAAGCTCCGAGAGGATGCTGATGCTGCTGGTCCCTAGGCCATCTTTCAAGCAGCAGAAGTCTAGGCAGCTCCATTTCACAGATGGTAACAAAGCCCAGCGAGATGAAGTGATTCGCTTCAAGAGACTGAGTGGTAAAGTCTAGACTTGAACACGTCTTCTGACTCTAGTGCTCTTTCTGCCCTCTTCGTAAAAGCGGTGCTTCATTATTGCATAATAATAATAAGTATAACCCCTTAAGAACATAGTAGATGACATGAGAATTTTTCAGTGTTCCTCATTTTATTTCCTTTCCTGGCAAAGTGTTCAAACAAGACCCTTGAAGTGCATGTAATTATATCTATTATATAATTATATTATTATAGAACCATTACATGTAGGTAGTAATGGAATATAATTCATAATATGTAGGTAATAAAATAATATTCTTAATTATATAGTGTTTTCCTGCATTGTTGATATTCCTTATCATATTTATACAAATTTTTAATTGTAATTTATAGTGGATATTTACTTTGTGTCATGGACCATGCCTGGTATCTCACGTGCATTATATTGAATCTCCACAGCCACCCTAGAGGTAGGCACTATTGTCACCTCTATTTTGATGAGAAGAATGAGGCTTACAGGGGTAAAGTAACTTGCTCTCTACTAAGTATTAGAGCTGGGATTTGGACCCAGGAGTCTGACCACGAGGCTATATCTATTTTAAGCTGGCCTTGTCTTTGTGGCTCCACACTGAGGGCCCAGAAATAGTTTTCACCTTTTGGGTGTCCTTGCTCAGGTTGACCCCTGGGCGGGGGACTGTGTTAGCGGCTCTTGAACAAATGGACGTAGAGATGGGCATGTGCCGCTGCTGTGAGCCTGTCTGTCTGTGTAACTGTCCATCTGTCTCTCTGTCTCTGTTCTTCCAGGGGTGTCCACTGGCACCTGCTCTGCTTCATTTGCTCATTTCCACTCTTCCAGGGCAGGCTGCTCCTCCACAGGAACCCGCTGGGGTCCCACGGCAATCTGAAGCCTTCCAACTGCCTGGTGGACGCTCAGATGCAGGTGAAGCTGTCGGGATTCGGGCTGTGGGAACTCAAGTACGGCCGGACATGTAGAACATATAATGAGAAAGCCACAGACCAGGTAACCATTGAGTAGCTATTGGCAGTAGTAAAGGGCTTCCTACCCCATCCCTGATTCCTGATGCTCACTTGCACAGGTACCTGCAGGTGGGCCGTCCTCTGGAGCTCATTGTTTGTGGCTATCCTGTTCACTCAAGGAGACGAGAAAAAAATAGCCCCTGGGAGTGGCCTGAGTCCATGATGTGACATCTGAGTTAGAAGAACTGGTTCTCATCCCAGCTCAGCTGGGCAACCTGAAGCAAGTCACTGCCCTTCTCTATAGTCCTCTCTGTCCCACGTATCTTCATCCTGTGTTCTCGGCATAGAATGTAAGGTCTGCCAGGCACTTGAACCATAAAGTTCTGTAATTCTCTGTTCTTTCTGTGCTCCAGTATGACTCAAGAAGCTTTTAAAGATAAGTAGGTGGCTGGGTCTCAACACACATCAACTGAATCAGAATATCTGAAGATGGGGTCTGGGCATTCGTATTGTTTTTTAAGAGCTCCCAAGTGATTCTGACGCACATCTCAAGATAAGACCCACCAGCTTGGGTTCAACTCTCCTTTACATCTGAGCAAACTGAGGCTTGGTGAGTCTTCCTATTGTCCAAAGTTAACTGAGCACTCTTGAGTCTCACCTCGCACGGATCCCGAGCCCTGCTTAGCCCGGTGCCCTCAGCCCTGCCCACCTCCCTCTGGATGTTGCCAGCAGCTTTGCTGTGTGCTTGTGGGGAGGTTTCTATAACAAGAGATAGGGCGGTGTTCTAGAGAAAGACAAAGGGGGAAATTTTGAAAACCTGCTCGTAGCCACTTCTTCTTCCTCATCTCTCCATATATTTTCCTTTAATGATTATAACCTATGAGGGTACAAACCTATAAACCTCACTACAAAAAAATGTAGGTGTATAAAATATCCAGAATAGATAAATCTGTAGAGACAGAATGTAGAGTGGTGGTTGCCAGGGTCTGTGATAGGTGGGGAACAGGGGGAAACTGCTTAATGGGTATGGGGTTTCCTCTGGGGTGATGGAAATGTCTTGGAACTAGATGGAAGTGGTGGTTGCACATTATGAATGTACTGAATGCCACTGAGTTCACTTTAAAATGGTTCATTTTATGTTCTCTGAATGATACCACAATAAATTATGTTATAAATGTAGGCAATACAGAAAGGCAACAGGAAAATGAAAACCACCTGTAATTGCAAAGTCAGGAGTTAACCACCATTACCATGTTAGTGCACGTCTGTCCTGATGATTTTCCTCCTGTTCACACACGTGAACCCTCATTTGCTCTGTAAGTTGGGCACCAGCAGGGCTGACTGCTCAGGGGCGGGATGCTTTCATTTCTCCTGCACTTCCCTGAGGAAGGAGGGGTGGCTTTTCCAGGTCTGCCTGGCTGCTCTCTCACTCCATGTCCTTTGCTTGGCAGAGCTCTATGGGACGGCCCCAGAGCTGTTGCGGCTCCCAGAGGTGCTGTGGTCGGGCTCCCCAAAGGGAGACATTTACAGCTTTGCCATTCTGATGAGGGAGCTGATCCACCAGCAGGACTGCGGGCCTTTCGATGACCTTGATGAGGCACCAAATGGGACGACTGGGGCGGCTCCTTGGCAGACTTTGGTCATCTGGGCTAGCTTTTAAATGCTCGTTTTTATGAATTGTTTTATTAAATGTTTATTAATTTACAATTTATTCCATTCTTAGTTTTTCTTTTTAACATTCATATTCTTTTGAAAATTAGAAAACAAATTGCCGTTTGGTTACCAAAAAAAGTCAAGGAACTCAGAATTACATAATTTATTCTGTAAGAGTTGTAGAGGCTGGAAGTCCAAAATCAAGGTTTGGCAGAGCCGAGCTCCCTCTAGAAGCTCTAGGTAAGATCCATCCTTCACCTCTTTCAGCTTTTAGTGGCTGCCCTAGCATCCTGGGCTGTGGCCACATAGCTCCAATCTCTGCCTCCATCTTCACAACGCATCCTCCTCTGTGTAGATCTCCTCTGTATGTCTCTTAAAAGAACACTTGTTGCTGCATTAGGGCCCACACAGATAATCCAAGATGATCTCCTCAATCCAAGATACTTAATTGTGTCTGCAACAATCCTTTTTTTTTCAAATAAAGTCACATTTACAGGTTCTGGGGATTAGATCATGGACGTATCTCTTTGGAGGCCACCATTCAGCCCACTACACTTTCCTAATTCCACCTCCCATGGCTTGCTCCTTTCAATCACGTTGGCCACTTTTATGTGCCTCCAACATGCCAGACACATCCCCACCCCAGTTCCTTTGCACATGCTGTTCCTTCTGGCTGTGCATCTCTCACCTTGTATGTATATATACACATTTGCCTCATTCTGTCTTAAGGACTACAACATTTTTCATTGTAAGGATACACCATGTATTATTGACTGATACACATTTTGGTTGTTTCCCATTTTTTGCTATTATAAATTGCCGCAGTGAGCTGCCTTGTATCTTCGTGGACACGTGTGAACGTTTCTTCAGGATAGACTTCTGTCCATTAAATTGAAACAATAAATGTATTTGAAATATATTTAAGATTTTTGACAAATGCTGCCCAACTGTCCACTTACAAAGGACATATTCAGGCTTGTTCTTTTGCTAGGTTATCGCTTAACACATTCCATAAGAGAATTAGGGGCAGAAGTAGTAGGAAATGAAGCAAAATTTGATCAAAACAGTGTAGGGCCAGCACCGTGGCTGGGTGGTTAAGTTAGCACACTGCTTTGGGGGCCCAGGGTTCATGGCTTTGGATCCTGGGCGTGGACCTACACCCTGCTCATCAAGCCGTGCTGTGGTGGCGGCTCACATAGAAGAACTAGAAGGACTTACAACTAGAATATGCAACTATGTACTGGGGCTCTGGAGAGGCAAAAAAAAAGAGGATGATTGTCAACAGATGTTAGCTTAGGGCCAATCTTGCTCAAAAAAAAAAAAAGATTAAAACAATATGTACTAGATGAAACCCCTCGGAACTGTTATTTCCACCTTGGCTGCACATTGGAATTATGCGGGGGAATTTAAAAAACTGCTGATGCCTGGATCTCAGCCTGGGAGACTCAGATGTCATTGATCTTGGGTACTGCCTGGGCATCAGGGGTTTTAAAGCTGCCCACGTGGTTCTAACATGCAGCTAAAGTTGAGACCCACTGTCCTGGAGAGAGGAGAGGGATGTGTGTGTGTGTGTGTGTGTGTGCGCGCGCGCGACAGATCCTATATAAACCCAGCCCACCTTTCTCTCTTGATTTTTTTTCTTTTTTCTTCTTTTTGCCCTGCCTACTATTTCTAGCCCATCCCCAGTGGCCCATCTCAAGTCTCATCTTTAGATCATCAGGCATTCCCTTGAGACGTTTTCAAGTCAGGAGCCTTTCTGAGTGTATGTAGTTGCTTTGAAAGCAGATTCCACTTTCTAATTCATGACTAAATGAAACGGAGGTGAGACTAATTCAAAAAGGTGAACCCAAAATCCAGGTGCATCTGACTTTGAACAAAGCGGTACACAGATCTTCCCAGAGTGAGCCCAGGCAGGAGCCCACCTAACTCAGCTGCCATGTGATTGTGCCAACGAGGGTGGGGGTGGGGAAGACTGTGACAATCAGTATATTTCCCCCTCGTTGTAGTCCTCTGCTCACAAAGTTAAATGAGAGCTGGCCATGTAGGACTATGTGTACACAGGACTGTACCCAGGAAAAGCACAATGTGCACTTAATTTACAGACAAACACTTCTTCCATTCAGTTCTCATGCTTCCCTACAAACAATCCTGGTGCTGGGAGCTGAGTAAATAGCGATTCTCTGTGCACACTAGACCAGTGATTCTCAAACTTCAGCAGGCATCAGAATCACCTGGAGAGCTTGTGAAAACACAAAATTGCTGGGTCCCACCCTCAGAGTTTCAGATCAGTAGGTCTAGGGTGAGCCCTGAGAATTTGCATTTCTATCAAGTTCCCAGGTGATGTTGAGGATGCACAGTTTGAGAAGTTTGGTCTAGTGGGGTCCCTAGACGAGCAGCATCAGCACCACTTGGGAACTTGTTAAACTGCAAGTTTTCAGGACCCAGTTCAGACCTTCTGAATTGGAAACCGTGGGGATGAGTCCAGAATCTGTGTTTTAACAAGCCCCATCCCCCCACGCCGCCCCCGCCCCGGCGGTTCTGATGCATGCTAAAGAAAAAGAACAATTAGGCTAGAGTGATCAGCAGACTACTAAAGATTATAGGATAGGGGCTGGTCCCGTGGTTGAGTGATTAAAGTTCTGCACACTCCACTTTGGTGGCCCATCTTCGCTGGTTTGAATCCCAGACACAGACGCACTCCACTCATCAGCCATGCTGTGGAGGCATCCCACATACAAAAAAAATAGAGGGAGATTGGCATAGATGTTAGCTCAGGGCTCATCTTCCTCAAGTGAAAAGGGGGGAGGATTGACAGTGGATGTTACTCAAGGCAAATCTTCCTCACCAAAAAAAAAAAAAAAAAAAGATTAAGGGATGGTTACCTGTTGCTAGGTAATAGTATAGCTGGTTATGCGTTAATAGGAAATAAACCCGTGTTCTCCAGGTGCAGACTCATGGTTTAATTTGTTGTCAAAGTTTTATATCATTTTACTGATTCTTTCATGGCATTTCTTAGAGGTGAAATTAGGAAAGCAAAATATGCCGCAGTACTAATTCTTCAGACACTCAATACTGTTAAAACCATTGCTGTCCCGCGTCTCAAGTTAAACTTCATTTGGGAAGTAAAACCCAACTGCCCACGGTACTTTTTAAATGTATATTCTTTCAGATTCTTTTCAGGAGTTAAAAATGCACACTTAAACACAAGCACATACATTTGGAAAAACAAATCATATTTCACATACTGTTTTGTAACCTGTATTCTATTATTAACTAAAGGTCATACTTTGTTCAGATTTCGTTAGTTTTTAACCTAATGTCCTTTTCCTGACTCAGTATCCCATCCAGGATACCACATTACATTTCTGTAGGAAGTTTTCTCAGACTTTCCTTATTTTTTGTGATGTCGATACTTTTGAGGAGTGCTGCTTAGGTATTTTGTAGAATGTCCCTCATTTGGGATTGGTCTGATTTTTTTTTCCCCTCGTGGTTAGACTAGGATTATGTCTGGGGGAGGAAGGCTACAGAACTAAGTTGTCATATTCATCACATCATATCAAAGGTAGATATCGTCAGCATGACTGTCACTGTCGATGTTGACCCTGAGCACCTGACTGAGGTTCGTCGGTTTCTCCACTGTCAAGTTCACTTCATTTCCGCCTTCCCACACTATCCTCTTAAGAAAGAAGTCACTAGGAGCCGGCCCAGTGGCATAGTGGTTAAGTTCCCGTGCTATGCTTTGGCAGCCTGGAGTTCACAGGCCCGGATCCTGGGCGCAGACCTACATACCACTCATCAAGCCATGCTGCAGTGGTCCCACAAACAAACTAGAGGAAGATTGGCACAGGTGTAAGCTCAGGGACAATCTTCCTCACTGAAAGAAAGGAAAGAAAGGAAGAAAAGAAGAAAGAAAGAAAGAAAGAGAGAGAGAGAGAGAGAGAAGAAAGAAAGAAAGAAAGAGAGAGAGAAAGAAAGAGAGAGAGAAAGAAAGAAAGAGAAAGAAAGAGAGACAAGAAAGAAAGGAAGAAAGAAGGAAAGAGAGAGAGAGAAAGAAAAAAAGAAAGAGAGAGACAAGAAAGAAAGAAAGAGAGAAAGAAAGAAAAAGAAAGAAAGAAAGAAAAAGTCACTATGTGAAGCCCACACTTCAGGAGGGGGGAGTTGTGCTCCCCCGCTTTGAATGGGGAATATCTACAAAAATTATTTGGATTTTTTCTCTATGGGAGATTTGTCTGTTCTCTCCCATTTATTTATTTATTCAGTTATTTGTATTATACTTGTATTTATATTATATTATTACACATTTATATCCTATATTTATTATATTTATATATTTGTTATATTATATATTTATTTTATGCTTTGGATTATAATCTAATACGACTTTTTTTTTTTTATCACATTGTTTCATCTTTGACCATTCCCTTTCATTTGGCTTCTGTGTACCTTTAACATGTACCTGTTGCTGTGTTTTGTTTTGTTTAGTATTTCCTTGCTCGCTGGTCATGTAAGATACTTCAGCCTCATCTTGTATTTTCCCTGCCCCAGTACTAGAATCAGCCATTTCTCTAAGGAATCCTGGCTCCCGTTATTGGAGAATGGTATTAGAAACCAAGACCTGGATGCTGGGTGCCCTCTTTGCCCCTGGGCCGGCGTTGCTTCTAGGCCCTTTCAGTGGGCAGAGTGAGGAAATACATGTGTATAATAACCTGTATGCTTACATATGTCTATATCTATATCTACCCATCAATATCTGTAGTAATCCAAACATGGGTTCATACTGACATCTCTGACATCATTACCAAATGGCTTCTTTACTCTAGTCTCTTCCCATCGCTTGTCTTTAACCTCCCTTTCCAACAGTGAGAATCCTGGCTCCCACCATCTACCATCATTTACTTATTTGTTCAATCCCAGTATATGGATACAATAGTTTCCGAGTTGTCAATCTGTAC